CGAGAAAAAAAGCAGATAAGTCTGCAGGTAAATTATCTATATTTATATAAATTTCACAATTATATACCCCAAAAATATAAGGATAAAGATCATAACTTTGCTCCTTTTTTATTACTTGAACCAAAAATTGAAGCTTTACATCAAAAGGCAACAAATATTGTTAGAACATCCTTTGGAAAAGGTTGTTCAATTAAAGCAGATCATCTGCATTCACAATATGTAATACCAAAACGTCACGAAAGCAGCAATGCCGCTCAAGATACACAGTCCATCTAACCTGCTTTCGTTCCTCATCTTTTCCTCTTTCAACTTTCTCTTCACTTTTGAGTACAGATGACACGATTCAAGAACTTCGCTGCAGTTTTTGCTTCGACGGCAGCTTAGAGCTTCCTTGAGAATAAGCAAACTGTTCTTTCCGTTAACATGTGCACCTTCCATGTCTTCCAACTGCATGCTTAGCTCCGTCAATTTGAGATGAGTCGTTTCCGCCCCGTCGCCTTCAGTGTGTACGACTTAACTTCATTATAAGAATGCACTCGACTACTTGACATGGAAGGATGCCTTTGGCAGGAAGAATAGACCCTAACCTTATCACGAAATCCTTGTCTGTCGGCCAATGTCTCTGTCCGCCGAGAGGGCTCCAGCTCACAAGATTAGCGGCTTGCTTAACTTTCCGGTTTACAATGATCCAACTAAGGCAGAGGCTGTCTTGGAGTTCCTGCCAAAGCTTTCCGTCTTTTCCTTTCCTTTTCCATGGAGGTAATCGGTGACAGACCATCAGAAACCGAAAGGGTTACTTCGCTTTCACTATCGTCATCTCTAGCGCATAGTTAAGAAGATCGATCCGAAACGGGCAATTGTGAAACCAACTATTGGATCCATTTGCATTAGGAATAACCCACAGCACTTCTGAGCAGATTGTTTTATCTTTATACCTGATATCCACAATTGAAACAAAATCTAACGGCGTAATACTTTCGAGTCCGTCGGTGTCGCCGTAATATTCATCTTCAGTCCATTCTTCGGGTACTCTAAAGAGGAGGAACTGTGGCCACTCCTGGGAGGAACTGTGGCCACTCCACTGGTACTCTGTAACTTCCTTATTAACAATAAGCGGAAAACAATCAGATAGATTTTCTAAACCCACCAATCGACGAAATCAAACTTTTAACATGTTCTCTGTAGGTTGAACGCCACATAGAAGAACAAATATTCTCTCATAGTCTCTCCTCTCTAAACGTCGGTACTCAACGATGCCATGCTCTCAATGGCACCACGTAAAAGGGAATCATTCATAATTGCTCCACTACATAAGTCTAAGAACACCGGTGGCGTATGCCTCTAAGGAATGTGTTGTCGACTAGTTGCATTAACTTTAGCATGCATACTGGAGAAGCATTCATGGGAATCCTAAATGAAACCAAAAGAGAGCTTAAAAGCTTTTATCTATAACTAGCAGTATTCTATTCAAAAAGGGATACAAACCAGAGTATGTAATATGTTAAATTCTTTTGATTTGAGTAGCACATCTGAGTGAAATTTGAACCCAAACGAAAGTATCTGGTTAATGCAAGAAAACCCTAACACCATCAAAATACAGAAAATTCCCTACAAGTCAATAAGAAAGCTTCATAGAAATAAAATCACCTAAAATCAACTCCCATGCATATTATATTCTGCAAAAGAAACTTACAGATTTGATTTTTACAAGTTGAAGAGTAAAAAACCCATTCAAAACTCAATTTCAGATGACCATAACAGATCAGTCCAAAAAAAAACTTGCAGAAATACCAAAATTCAACCTTTATCGGGGGTTCCGGCACCCTCGTTGTTTTCTCCAGAACTAAAAAGCAACCGAAAAAGAAGACCAGCAAGGAGGAGATTACCATAAAGCGGACATGCAAATGTAAGAAACAAGATGGCGAAACCAACTTATAAGGGAAATAACAGGAACAAGACGAGGCTGTTGTTTGATTGCTTTTGATTTTGGAGTAGTGGAAAATTGTCTAAAGTCAAAACGAAAGGAAAGAGAACGGTAAGACCTTAGAGAACCACATATGGCGGATTCGATTATGAGTTTTTGAGGTCGAATTGTTAAGATATTAAAAAAACGCGTTTTAAGGTCACTTTCCGCTCGTCTTCTTGACAGATTTATTAGGCACTTTGTTTTGACTCTACTCTAACGAGTTCGGTCGTGTTTAAGATCTCCCCCCCCCCCCCCTTTTCCTCTTTTCTGTATGCTTTGTCCGGTTCTTATGGTACTATTATTTCAGTCAATGTGTGCCTTTTGGCTTAATTGTAAAAAAAAAAAGCTCTCAATGTTTGCTTCTTTTTTATTTTACCCTTCAAGTTTTTACTTAACGATTTAAATCTTAAAATTTTATTCCCAAAAAAAAATCTTTTTGAGCTGTAACTAAGGGTCAAGTTTTATGAAGTAACATAAAAATGGAAAATTCTACGGTACTTGACGAGTAGCGTTGAGTACCATTAACGATAAGCACACTAATTTAATTTATAAAACTTTAAATTTTAAAAGACTCAACATATAATTATATATTAGTTAAAAATTAAAAGATACATTAATTAAAATAAATGATAAACTATACTCGTGATCATCTAACTATTGCTAATTTTTATTTTGATCAATATTTTTGAAATTTTATCAATCAGTTCACTCAACTATTTAAATGTATTCAATTAAGCCACTTGTTGTTAAATATGTTAATATTTAACAAAGAAACTGATGTAGCAATGAAAATATTGGTATGATTACACATTTGGTCACTATTACTTATATATTCTATCAATTTGATCCTAATTTTAATAAATTAAAATAAACTTAACCATCAAATTTTTAATTTTAAAAGATTTTAAAAGTTATGACATATTTTATATTTATAACAAAACAAAATTTTTACTAAAAATGCCATTTATAGTTCTCAGAAGCATCCCGCCAATGGTACCATAACCTCTTTTGGTTTTAAGAAATATATAGTTGATTAGCCCATTTATATAAAGTTCGTTGGACAAAATTTTTATCCTATTACTATTTGTAAATGACATTCTACTATAAAAAGGTGATATAGTCTAACATGTAAAACTAAAAAAAATTATCCACTAAATTTCTAATAGAAAAAGGTAACATATTCATTTCACGTTTGACACAGTCTTTTTTTAAAATTTTAAAAATTTATCTCCTACCATAGAATTTTATGTTCATCTTTAATAAAAGTTTTTACTGATAAGATTCTCGGTGGACTTGGCATGTAAAATTTTGCACTAAGAGATTGACTTGTATTAAAAGGGCAATAATTTTAGTTTGCTTTTAATTTAATATCATAAATTATTGCTTGAGTTATTCAATTTTTTAGAAAAATGTTTTGTTATAAATTTTGTTTTTTTATAAATATAGAATATGTCGGAACTTTTAAAATTAAAATAAAAAGTTGAATTTTGGGTCATTATACATGACACCCTTTAATTTGACAGTTAAGTTTATTTTAATTTATTAAAATTAGGACCAAATTGATATAATATATAAGTAACAATAACCAAATGTGTAATTATACCAAATATTTCAACTGTCACATCAGCTTCTCCATTAAATATTAACGACAAGTGACTTAATTGAATATATTTAAATAGTTGAGTGACTTGGTTGACAAAATTTCAAAAATATTGGTAAAAATGAAAAGATGCAATAGTTAAGTGGTTAATGATACAGTTTACCCTTTATTTTAAATAATTTATCTTTAAAATTTTAACTAGTTTATAATTATACGCTGAGTCCTTTATAATTTAAATTTTTTATAAATTAAATTAATAATGCTCATCGTTAGTGGTTCTCATTGCTGCTCTTCGAGCGTAGAAGAATCATCTCATAAAAATGTTAAAATTAGAATTAAAAATAAACGTTGACCATTATACCATTTTTCTGGTCATACCTTAGAAGCTTAAGACCATCTACACATGTCATAGGAGAAAGGCAAAACCAATAAGAAAATAAAAAAAATATATAATAAAATAACAGAGATTTTTTTCTTTATCTAAAGGGCATTTAGTATGGGCTGTTGCAATATTGTTTTCTGATAAAAACTTGAAATCTTTCTAACCGGACCACCTACTGCAATTTCAAAACTATTAACATGTAACATAGAATTCAAAATCATAAAATAAATAATATCTATCTTATCAAATTTTCTTTTCAGAATAATTAGCAATCTTATCAATAATAGCATTTATTATTATTTTTAAAGATGAAATTAGAATTCAAGTGATGAAAGAAAGTGCATAAAATATTTAATATATTTCATTAGAGTCGGGATAATTTAAAAACCGACAGATACAATTGATGAGAACCATCATAATAGATCGGGTTGGGTGTCATTTACTGCATGAAAGAACAAAATTGAGCTTTCTAGAAGATAAGATTTGAGATTCCTATGCCGGATTGTAGCAGTTTTGATTTGCAGCAATGCAGGTTGTTGATGAGATGGAGACAAATTTCAGCCAGCATTGGCCTTTCTCAACCTTCTGAGAAGGTACCGAATTCTAGAAATTTTCAACATGCTTATTGATTGTTGATAGAAAATAAATAATTTATATAAAGAAGTACGGTCAATAAAGAATTAATTGCTAGTAATCTTTAGATGAAAAAATTGATAATGTGTAATGTGTAAGAAGCGGAAGATAATTATAAAAGATGGTTTTTCCTTAAATTTTTTCGAAAATATCTCAAATTACAACAAAAATTTATAATCACAATTATAAATTAAACTCATAATTAAAAAATTTTCCTATAATCATTGAAATAAAACTAACAACTTAAGATTACATAAAAACCATATAAGGAAATATTAAATCTAACCAAGAAACTGGAATAAAGATAAATACAAACAGATCTAATCGTATCGACAAACGAACCACAAAAGATATCAAGCTATTAAAAGATCATCGACAAACCGTAAATCATACTTAGCAAGATAAAAAACTATCCACGCTAATCTAAAAGGAAACAGTACTGTGTTAGCCCTTGGATCATATGATAATCCAAGGCTGTTCGTGCCTCAGCCGGCGCTGGGAATCTCAGAATTCATGTAAGCCATTCCAATAAATAATACAAAGAGCAGTAAAATACCAATACAATTCCTTTAAATACGTAACATCACCCACATTCTCACTACAACAAAGCTGTCTACACCCACAGCTGTAACTAAAATTTAAAAACGAGCAACATATTTAACGGCCTCGACCGGGTCCACGTCCACGACCTCGTCCCGTCCCAAAGCCCTGCTGAATTTGGAAATGGAATATAAAGAAATACTACAAGATCACAAGTTTATACAAGGCATTCAAACAAAGTAAAAGAAGCCAAAATAAATGTAAATACCAGCAGTTGAATTCTTGGGCTTCACCCTTGGCATCTCTTCAACCAACAATGTCTCAAGATTTAAGCTGTCAGGCAGGATATAATAGCGAATATTGTTACCCCTCACACTAAGGTGATCCAAACTCACTGGATTTTTGCCCTTCATAGCAAATCAATCAGTCAAGAAAAATTGAATGCCAAAAAGCATGTTCAATCAGGAAACCATCAGACTATTTGACTGTCTTTGAACTCTAACAAAGAAACTTTGATTACAGGAACACAACATGAGAAAGAATGACGAGACATACAGACATTTGTGAGCAAGAAATCCAGAAATGTAGGAGACTAAATATGTTATCACTTATCGGGAGGCCAGAAGAAAAGTCTATAATAGGCTTATAGTACTGCGAAATGTGCGGTAAAAGGGGATCTTGACTTCAAGCAAAAAGACCCGTGCCTATGGAAGTTTGAATTAAAATACATAGCATATGCTCTTGGAAACTTTTTGCCCCTTTTTTTAAGATAGCATCACTCTACTATCCATCTATAGAAATCATCATGAGCTTAAATGTCGTAAATAATGATCAGCTATGCCAAAGAAAACCATTACATCTTTTCCACAAGGATAATGGGTTCAAAGTTTGTCATTATTAACGTTTATAGCAGTAACTATGGAGTTCTCATGACATGAAAGCCAAAAGTATATTCCTAATATGAGCATTAAGAAGATAAACAAATAAAGGGGCATTTTGCCAAAATCCATTTGTTTCATGAGAGCAGTAATTTAAACAATGCAATGTGGTACCAATTAAGTAATTGACATGGTCTAGATTCTAGTTAGACAAGACGGTTAGCGGTTTCATTTGACTCTCCAACTAGTCAGCAAGCCAGAGAGTAGAAAATAAGCACTAAGAGAAAATAAGCATGTAATTTAATAAAACTACACCAGGTCATCCAATAACAAGAAGTAGGTGACAATAAACTGTGCATTTAGTAAACATCTAAGCTTATAAAGAAAATCTGCAATTAACACACTTTACTCTAGAATGAGAAGCATGTCATGATAATACATTATATCTTAAAATTGATAAAAATAAAAACAGTTGAATAGTTTATCAGACGTGATGTTTTATAGTCAAAAGCAGAACAAGTACAAAACAATTTCATCTTAATAGGTATAACTAATGGATAACTGAAATCATGCCAGGACACCAATATCTGTTCACAATTTTTAATGCTAGCAATGTAACCAAATGGCTAGCGACAGAATACACAATTGAGGTGAAAATCACGACTATATCGGACAACATGGCTAAAGCGCAGGACTAGGGTTTAGCTAAACCCAATTGTGGGAGAAAAAAAGAGACGAGGAAAAATAGAGGAACCTGTGATGGTGCCGTGAATGACAGTTCCGTTCTTGAGCTCAATCGAAACCGTTTCATTGTTCAGCTTCATCAAACACCTGCACAATGTTTTTCAAAACCGAATCCGATTATAAAGAGATCTAAGACGTTTTATTTTTTTAGACTAATTGTTAAACACGGAGAGGAGACACAATTATCTGATCAGGAGTTGAGTTTAAAGAGGGAAACTGAAACTGACCTGACGAGCTTCATGTTGAGATAAGAGAGCAGAAGTAGAGCTTGATGCAAAAGGCGAGGAAAAAAAAGCCAATCCAAGGAAGCGGGAAAGAGAGAGAAGCTGACCTGTTTGCTGCTTCCGCCAGGTCTCGAAAGTCGGAGGTGATTTAGGGCTCGGGCAACAGCTAAAATGTCTATTCTGCACTTCATAAGAAAACGACGCCGTAGCTGGACCAATTGATTTAAAGTTGGGAAGGCGACGCCCCAGCACCCTCACCATCGACAAGTCGGGGCATTTTTACTAAAGTAATATTATTATTTAATTAATTAATTAAATAACATCCAAAATATTACTCATGAAAATGAAAACTTATTCTCTATTATGATGTGTCGCGTAATTGACGAGAGATGGATCCAAAGTTTTAAATTTTATATATTTAAATATTTTATTAAAAATATGTTTCATCCTTATAAAATTTTATAAATCTTTTCATATTTAAAATTTTATAAAGTCACGTACAAACTTTGAAGATAGAAGGATTGTTTCAACGTGCAAACTGGATGTAGCTGGCATTAAGCAAACAAATTGCGATGTAGCTGGAGGGATCGGATTGAGCCTAGTGTAGTGATAAAATGGTAATTCCAGCGAACCACTTCAACATCATCTGCTGCAGCCTGCAGGCAGCTGAAATGATCTGTTATAAAATGTACGTACACTGATATCCCAGGCAAAGGTGACAGCCAAAGGACCTGCCCTGCCTGGCTGCCCATTGCCCCCATTTTCTCTTCCCTTTTCCTCCTCCTTTAAACCCTGTTTCTAAAACCTCGCGTTTGATCTCCAAGGTAAGTTGTTCTCAACTTTCATGATGTAAAAATACGTGAAGATAGGTTGATTAAAAATGTTTTATTCTTTAGCTCTTGTGATTTTCCTTGACTAAACTTTGGATGTTTTTTTATCTTCGGATCCTTCGATTTGTGACAAGGTCGTCTTCTTTTTAACGCTTTAATATCCGGGAAGTTGTTGCCTTTTCTTTTTTCTTCATATATCTCAACTTGCACTTCTAATTTCTTCTTTGTATATATGGCTCCGTGTGAGCTGTTTGTCACTGTTTGTTGGGTGTTCTTTTTCTTTGGCATGTTGATTTTTAGAAAACCCTGCTTAAATTTTTCTTGCTGCAACATGTTGATGATGTGTCTGTTATAAGTGTTTTATCGTAGTAGAAATTGATTTATTATTTGTTTTTGTTTAGTTATTTGTTCAGTTAAGGGCCAATTGATTTTACTTTTGGAGATATGGATGGACAACATGGTCATGAGAACCCTCACATGTCACTGAATTCTGGTAGGAATGTCAATGATTTCTCGTATGGCTATGTGGATGATATGAACCCGGTCTTTCTCACGGCGACGGGGAGAAACACAAATCGGCCTATTCTCCAATCCTTATCTCAGTGGATTGAGTGTCCCAAAATGCCTCACAGTTATGTTGAATTTCTAACAGAGAGTCTTGAAGAGGTTCCTACTGCTGATATGTTAGAGAGCATTGGTTCTCCAGTTAGTGGCATACATGCTGTTGATGGGATCTCTGAAATTCAAAGAAAGGCTTTCAGTTGGTCCAGATGCCTTTTCCCTTGAGCCAGATCATGGGAACTAATGCTATCTGCTTCCTCTACTGAAATCAACAACCATGAAGCTTCTGCAAGTGTATAAGCAAAACTGCCTTTTCTCTTTCCTGAAGGGATTTCTGATAAAACTGCTTTTGTTGCAGGAAATATTTTTGAGGCAACATGATAGACTATCTGCGAACACATTTTCTAGCTCGGAATATGAATTCCATGCACAGGTTAACTTCTTTCTCTATGTTACAATTATATCTGACTCTTGCATCAAGAACCTGTCCAAACTTAGAACTAAAGAACTTGCTCATAATGCAACATTGTGTTTCAGCAAAACAATGCTTTCTGTATGCAAGAACCAAAAGAAGATGATTATAATGTTCTTCACTTTCAATCAAAGGGAACCTTTGATGCACCCTGTTTCCAGTCCAAACCACAGTGTCGGGTACCAAACCAAGCTCCTGCAAATGATCGTGTAAGTATACCATCTCTCCTAGCCTTTAAATACTATACTAGTAATAAATGACCCTAACAAATACAACTGAATTTGGAATGTGGATGCTGTCCCATTATTTGATTTGGATTTTCAAACATGTTACTTGGATAGTGTCTTTCTATGTATGCAGCAACGAAAGATACGAATCGCTGAAGGTATCAAAGCATTGCAGGAACTGATTCCTAATTCTTCTGAGGTAATTATTTCTTTACGAACAAGCAAAGAGCCTGGTGCACATATACCTTTTCCATTGGCAACCTAAATTGGTATATGACCTCATATTTGTCAACATAACATTTTTATTCATCTTCCATTTCATTTTACTCATCTTTGTGTGACAAATTAGCTGCTTAGCATTTAAATAAAATGAGCAAAACAATATATAAGGAACCATGGAAGAGGTTAAGCAGCAACATTGTTCCACCTATGTTATTTTGTTTAACTGAGGAGCTTGATCCCTTAAAAAACTGTGGGAATACACCTCCTTGCCTTTATTTTTCACATTTTCTTTTGCAGCGTGGTCAAGCAAATGCACTGGATGATGTTATTGACTATGTCAAGTTTCTGCAGATGCAAATCAAGGTAGCTTTTATGTCTTATTGCTATCAGGATGTATATGCTTTCATATGCTTATCTTGTCGACCTTTCTTGTTTTTAAACTTCATCCTATTAGAATTGTTTATACTTTTGGCCATTGCATTACACTCATTGTATTGTATGAAGCTTGGATACTGTTTACTCCAACGACTAATCTTCACCTTTTGTATTAGATTGTATGTAATAAATAACATTTTAATATATATTTGGTATCACTCTATTCAAGTGGAAACTCTAATGGTGTAGGAATTAAGTCGAAGTAGATTGGGAGGCGAACCAACTTCTAATCCTTTGGTTTTCTTTGAGGTTCTGGTTTCATGCCTTTACTATAAGATACTTATAAAAGCAACCTTGGAAATTTTTCGAATTGAGTAAAATTGTATGTAAAAATCTGCAGGGATATGGTCACTATGTTCTCCATGAACAGATGATAAATGAACCTCTTGAAGAGATGTGGGGAAGTTACTGGAGATAAACCCATCAGCAGCAAGTCAGCTGTTAGAGAGCAGAGGCCTTCACATTATGCCAAGGGCACTGGTTGATGGCTTGAACAGAACCTCATAGATAGTCCATACACAGCACCACTCTGCTATATCCGCTTAGTTTTGTTGGTCGTTCGTTACTTTCAGAATCAAGCAAATACTTAAAAGACTAGCTATGATCCGAGTTTCCATTTCTTTTGTGGACAATAGAACCTAAACAGTATTTCTAGTTTCAAAACACAGTTTACAGAACAATGGCTAGTGTTCTTAAGTTTTAGTTGAATGCACTTCGGAAGCTCTAGGCTGCGAGCCTGTAAACTGTTGGACAGCTATTTTCTAGATATTTCTTTAAGTTTTAAAGTTACTTTTGGGGTGCCCCTGAACGGCTATTTACTCTTGTGGGCCTTTACTTTATTTCTTTCTTAAGAAAATAATCTATCATCCCAGGTTGTTTTCCCCGACGAGTCTATCGTAATTAAGAGGCACATCAATGGGATAATGAGAATCCGGAACCATTGCGAGCATAGACGGAACAAAGGCTCTCTCCATTTTAGCATTAGTGGCAGCCAGTGTTTTTTCCAAAGTAGCCATGGCGACTTTAGTAAGCCAAATTAGCGCAATTGCTGTGAAAGAAAGAAGCAAAAACAACCCAAAATTATGCAAAAGGAACGCAGAATCATATTGAACTTTTCGTCCTTGTTCCTTTTGTGAGTTCGGTATAAATCTAATTCGTGTTCTAATATGTCCCTTCTCGAAACTTTTAAATAAGAACTAAATTGAACCTTAGACCAGAAGTTATCTTTTAAATGAGACTACTACAGAGGTTGTCTCCATTTCTCTAGAAAATATAATTTTATTTGAAGTTCGTTTCAGATATATATGTTTTATCATCCAGCAAACAGTCTCAGTTAACCTAACGAATAAAAGGGCGATGGGGGCTTACCGGATGCGCAAAAGCCGATTGCCATAAAAATCTGTATTCACAGGCAAAGATCATTTCACAGATAAAGATCAAATATCCTTTAAAAGCTAACATAAACAGGGCAAAATACTTGCCTGCCGAATTGTAGAAGTATCATTCCATTCATGTGTGACATCTGAAAGGTCCTTTACTGTAGTTCCGACGTATGCCAGGGCAAATATGGAAGGCTGTAATAAGAGACGGACACGAAGCTGAACATGTTTAAAAAATGTTCGACCAGAAAAGGTCGAGATGAAACCTCAAAGATGAAGATACTCGGAGTAAATACCATCATTCCTAACCAAGATGCCAACATGTACACCCTGAGATGAACAGGAGTCATAAAAAGGAAGTAATTCAACAAGCTGAACGGTACTAAAGAAACAAGCCGGCGCAGAAAAACAATCTGTTGGGACCAAAAAAGCAAAGAAAATTAACAATTTCACAACAGAGCTCCATGATACACACATATGATATAGAGCGTGCAGTTTATGCAAGTCCTAACTTCTTCAGAACTATCTTCATGTAACAATCATCAACTGAAACTCTCCATTTCAAGTAGTTCATATGACATTAAACTTGAAATTCATCATTGTCAATCAAGTAGTTCATATGATAGTCACATATGGGCCCAATAGGCTAAGAAAAGTCACAAAACTCTTGCCTTAAAACCAGATGTCTCAATTGCCCTAGCAACAGCCTGGAACTTTGGATAATTCCTTAGTTTAGATATCGAATATAGGCTCTTCCCAACTGCCAGAAAAAAGCAAATAAAATTCATTAGAAACTTTCTTCCCGGAAATAAAAGGTAAGCTTATATTTAGGTAGGATTCAAATCGCGTTCGCGGCCGCATTTTCATTCGCGTTGCATTTATCACGGTGGCGGACGTAACGGATGTTATTGCGGACGTGAATTTTTTTTTAATTAACACAACTTAGTACAAAATATAATAAATTATAATTATAAAAAAAATCAATTTTAATGATATTTAGAGTGTTTTCTAACACTTTGAACTTCTAAAAACTTTTATTAATACATGAACATAATTTTTACCATCATTAATTATTCTTATATTTATTTATAAATTTATTAAAAATATTATACAAGAAACATAAAATTAAAATTTATAAATATAAAACAATTCATTACTTCTATTATCAATAATATAATACAAAATATAATAAACATTTACTAACAGTGAAGAAAATTAATTTATTGAGATTTCTTTTGGTCTAAACCAAAAACATTAAAAGTAAAAAAAAAATATTTAAAATCTAAAACATAAATTGAACTCCCATGTTTATTTTTCCCCTTGATTTTCATCAAAAAGTTTCATTTCTTTTCTTGTAGTTGTATTGTTGAAAGCTCCTACTGCTCTCTTTGTCCAAAAAATAGGTCTGAGTCTGGTTTTGTTGTTGTTTTGGCTACCAAAGGAGACATCAGAGGCAGAGACGTAGAAGATCAAGCTCTTTTTTCACTTCCTCAAAGGGCTGAAAAATGACACAGCCGTAAGTGAATACTGTGAATCTGCTCCTTTTCCTTTTTTTCTTTCTTACTTACAAGCTCTACTCTTCCCTATGAAAACCTAGAAAATCTGTTTGGGTTTCAGTAGCAGACTTGGTGTGACGGAAAATAACGGAAATAGCAGTCTGCTATCATTGTGATTGGTCATTACCCGTTAAGTTACGGTCATTATCGGTATGATTCCGTTTGATACCATTATTTTGAACAATAATATCAGACGACGGTACTACCGCAAAATAGCGGCCACTATCACGTTTGCCCTTTGCTATTTGAAACCCTAGGTATTGATAAACATCATATCCCGGTTCAAAAGACACTGTTCGGCCAAGAATGAATGCAGCAGTAGCCTCTACAGCAGCACCGATTGAATCAGCAAGAAATCCCACTGGCAGCCCAAACAGATAACCTCCCCCGAGCTGAAAAACTCCAAAAAGAAGAACGCATTTGTCTCTTCCATAGAAAACCATATGTGCTAGAATATTGAAACAACTGAACGCCATTTCAAAATCCATATTACTATAATTATCTAATAAATTGCAGAGAGCAATGAGAACCCACGGTAAGAACCGAAGCGGGAACAGCAAGGATTGCAAAAGGATGTATATGATGGCCCTGCAATGCCAAAACATATGTTTTATGTAATCATGGAGCTATATTATCAGACATGCTATATTGTAGGCTGTAGCTTACAGCACAAATGGACCCCATTGACCAAGATATTCCTTAACCCAGAACAGAAAACCCTTCACCGACTGCATCATCGATTCTTTTTTATTAATTAAGTCGCAGAGATGCAAATATGAAAAAAAGGTACACGTTTCGAATCGATTTATAAGATCATCTTATAAGCAAACTCAAAACAAAACAAGCATATGAATGTAAGAAAAAGGAAACGGCTTTTCAATGGGAATGGAAAGGAGAACTGAAGCAATGACGACCAGGAAAAGGAGGGAAAACACGATTCTAGAAGCTGAGACCAAGGTTAAAAAAACATCCGCCATGTCGGGAAAACGACGACAGCCCTTTGCCTGGTCGGGGCTCCAGAGGCAGAGGCTGTCGTTTCGATGGTGGTGGTCTTTGGCGCCCAAACAAAACTACCCTTTGTCTCAACCACGATCGTGCCTTCAATTCAACGACCTTTTTGCCTAATTTAACTAACCCATTTTTATGTACTTCTAATTTTTTTTACAGAAAAGGAACGCATATTTTATCTAAATTTAGATACTAGTTGCTATAATTAAGTTAAGCACTGGGCATATATGGTGTATAGATATTTGGTGTGCGTTTCTTTCTCTGCTTCTCTTTGTTTGATCTGAGTATTGAGTTCGAAGTGGCAATGAGCACAACCTGTTTGTTATTGTTTCAGATTCATGCTTGCTTTTTAGCTTAGCTGATATCTTTTGTGACACACAGAAATGTTGGAATCTAGTACGAACTACGAAGCAAGAAATAAGATTGCTTTTAAGTTTAAATGAGTCTGACTGTCATCTCTGTCTCTCGTGTTAACTTCAAAAAGTGCCATATGGTCAGTGAATTTGTTGTTCTGAAGGTAGGTCGCATGCTCGATCCATGCTCACAAAAAAAAAAAAAGGATTACAATGCTTAGTTCAAAAACCCTCTTCTCAGCCAGGCTTTATATAGCCCAAATTATCATGAAATATTAACTAATTAGTACTAATAAACTTCCAACTAGTTATAGTTACTTCTAACTATATTCTAATAGGATTCAACTAATTTTAACTCGATTTACTCTTATAAAGATATTTTTTAGTTCGAATTTAGGGTAGATTTTGAGAAAAATAATTGATGTTAAACGAATCAAATTTAAAGTAAAAATCTTAAATTCGATTTAATCTAAAATACTTTTAATTATATATATCATATTTACAATATATATATATATATATTCACTTCTAAAGTCTTTTTCTTTCATTTCATTTTTCTTTTATTCTTCTCTTCCTCATTTTTGTTCTTTTTCTCCCTTCTATTTTCTTTTCTTTTGCATGTTTTTTATTTGTTTTAGATTTAAGTTTTGCTCTATGTTATTTTTATATTTATTCATTATATATTCTTTTATTTGATTTTTAAATTTTACATATTTTTATAAGTTTCAATTTACATGTTATATTTTTTATGCCTTTTCATCCAAATCAATTGGTTCTTTGTGTTGGGGTTTATTTAGTTCGGAATGCTTCCGGTAATGAAAAAAAATGATTTTTCATCTCATAAGTAATGTCAAACACTTAAAATTTGATTTAAAGTCATAATTGGAAAAGTGATTTTCAATTTAACTTCAAAGACTCAAATTTCTAACTTTTGTAGTGGGAAATCACTTTAAAGGTGAAATTATATTTTTATCCTTAATTATTTACTTTTAATTTATAATATAAAGTCTAACATGAGCATTTTATATTTCTAAAATCACTTTTTATCGGTATTTTTAAATACTTAAAATTTTAAACTGAACCATAAGAGGTAAGCTTGTGGTCCATTATGTATGAGATTGATTGAGTACAAGTGTTTGGGCCTTATAAGTAGGGTCAGAGCTTGTTTTTGGATCAAATGGAAACGAGTAAACATATATTTTAATTATTAAATTTAAAAAATTATATTTTTAATATATATTTTCAAAATATTTTAAAAAGTAATAAATAAGTATTTGAAATTTCTAATAGAAATTAATAGTCATTAATTTTTTTTTTTTTGGAATTGTAAAGATAGAATAAAACAAATGTCTTACAGCATATTCAGCTTATCAAAATCTATGGCAGGCAAGAGAGAATCAGGTGGTTCAGTAAAGCACGATAATTCATAACAAGAGAGATT